ACCCACCGTGTGGAGAGCCTTTGAGGGAGATGCCTGCAGTCTTGTCTCCTCTCCAAGACGGCTCCTTCTGGAGCCTTCTCCTGACTGCCTCCGTCGGGGATGCAGAAACCCTGGCCATTTGCAGCCCCGAATGACCAGTGGTGGTGGCCTCTCGGGTCGCCTTCAGAGAAGCCGCTGTGGGAAGCGCAGGTGGGGGACGACGTCCAGCTGCCTCTTCTGTCGGCCCTGCCGCAGTGGCCGTGCCAAAGCTGTGCCCCCCACGGAGAGAGGAGTTCAGGGCCAGGTTTGCCTCCGGACAGCCCTGTGGCCCCCGTGACCAGCCGAGCCCGGGGTGCTGTCACCACACAGGCTGCCCGCAGTGCTCCTGACCCCACCCCTCCCGCGCCTGGGGGAGCTGTCCCCGGCCAGCCAGTGAGTGCTGCATGCGCCTGGCTTCCCGCCCTGCGCCCCCACTTTGCCCCGGCCGGACTGGCCCCTCGGGCCTGGGGAGGGAAAGCCGCTCACTCCCCCCACACCCTTCTTTGTGCGTGTTCAGGGGTCGGGGCCACCTCCTCCCCCGGCCACTGCTACCTCCCAGCTGCCCTCCCTCGTGTCCAAAACGGCACTCCTTAACAAAACAGAATAGAATAGAAGAGTACCCCTTGGGAGCACTCGCTGCTCGTGTGACCCCCCCTTGTCATCCTCCACCCCCGCCGTCGGGTCCCCTCCATTTATTCTAACTTTGGCCCCTGGCGCCTGGTTTCCTGTCCACCCCGTGTCCTGCCACCTTCCTGGGAGAGTTCCCTGCTAGCATGGCCACCATCCCGCACCTGGGCTCACGGCGCCGGCCGGTGGCTTCCTCGCGGCCGGCACCCTTCTCCTCGCTCCTGGGCAGCGCGTCCCCCGGGGTGGCTGGGGCTGTTTCCACGGCAAACCGGCTCCCCCTCCTGGCTCCGCTGCCTCCTCCCGGGTGACGCTCTCACCAGAGTCACCACAGCTTCTCTAGAACCTCTCTGACCCCAGAATTCCTTTTTTTTTTTTTGCATTTTTTTACATCTTTTTTATGTTCCTTACCCCAGGATACGTCAGTATTGATTTGAGAGAGAGAGGGTTGGAGAGAGAGAGAGAGAGAAGGCATCCGTGGGAGGGAGAAACGTCAGTCGGTGGCCTCCCGTACGCGCACTTCAGCTGGGGGCCAACCCGCAGCCCGGCGGTGCGCAGGCCAACGCTGCAGCCCACCCAGCCGCCCGGCCAGGCCCCTTGAGCAGCCTCCCCCTCCCGTTGCTACCCTGCTCCTCACTCCCCCATTTGTCCAGTTCGTGTGCGTGGTCCATGGCGGAGACAGCTCCTTGGCAGCACCCTAACCTCGCACCCCTCCTGGGCCTCCTGCCCCCTTCCCTCATGCTGCCAGAAACACGGCCCCCTGCCAGCCGAGCGCCGCCAGGGACCGTCCCCACTGGGGCTGCCGGGGAGCCCGGGCTGGGGAGGGGGGTCCCATCTCAGCTGTTCTAGATGGTGAAGAACGAACGGTCTTTGAAGAGGCAGAGAATGTTGTGACTGAGCTTGAGAGAGCTGGAAGAAGCCGCAATGGGGGTGCACACCGGGAGAAAGGGATACTGGACATTGGGGGGGGTCAGGAGCGGAGAAAGCAGAACTGACCAGGGAGGACCCGTTCTGCGCAGGCACTGGGGCGCAGCCCGCACAGACTCCCACTTGTCCGGCCACAGCACTAACCAGACGACAGGTCCCACCTGCGGTGGGAAGATGGCGGACGCTGAAGTGCCATGTGCGTGCACTGCCCGAGTGAAACAGCTGAGGCCCCTCCTCGTTTGTGCCACCTGTTCGTCACAGGTTGCAGGGCGCAGCACCCTCCCCAGGGTCCCAGGCTGGCGATCAGCCACCGGCCTCCCACGTGCCGGCTCCAAGCCAGAGGGAGGAGAGTTCTGGGCGGGTCTCTCGCTGGAGGTCCCGGTCGGATGTGACTTTCCTTCCCAACTCTTGGACGGGAATGAGTCTCACATACGTGTGCACGCGCACACACACCGCCAGCACCTCCAGGGCGCTGGGGTGCAGCCCTCCCACGTGCTGGGAAGGTGGAGGATGTGAACAGCTCTGATCGCCCCTGCAGCAGGAGGCCCGGGTCCGCGTGAGTCCTGTGATTCACACGGAACGCCCGTGCGGGTGTCTCCTGGGGTCGCGCAGGGGGCGGGGGGGAGGGGTGCTGGGTGCTTGGCCTCCTATTCCCCAGCCCCCTCCCAGGGTGGCCTGGGCTCCAAGAGGTTTTTGTTGTTTCTGTTTTTAACCCGCACCCTAAAACATGTGTGAGAGGAAGTGAGAAACATGGATCCATTGCCCCCCGTACTCACCCCAACTGCAGATCTAGCCCACAGCCCACGTGCTCTGACTGGAGTGGGGGGTCAAACCCGCAGACTTCTGGTTTGCGGGCTGACGCTCCCTCTGACCCAGTCACCGGGCCGGGCCACTCTGAGGTCTTCATCTCCGGGAAGGTCACTGTTGTTAAGGCCTCCCCTCCCCTCCGGCCGAGGGCTGACTGTGTCCTTGGCTGTTGCCAGCCCTCCCGTCAAGTCCGCGAGAATATCTTTCTTCTTCCCAGGGGTCACCTCGGCCAAGGACACGTCTGGACGCAGCAGCCTCGCCAGCCTGATGCGGCCAAGGGGGGACTCTGACGCTGTGCCTCCACTTCTCGCTGGAGCACGTCACCTCACCGCCCCCACCCCCACTCCCACAGCCCTTACACGCTTCCTTCTGTCACACCCCTCGGAGTGGAAGGACAGGCACACCCGCACCGCCTGAGCAGAGAGGCCCCAGCTCCAGGAGCCTCTGCGGCGTCAGGAGCCCCGCCGAGGGCCTCCGCCAGCCCTGTCTGCGCGGCGGCCGCCCAGAACCTGGTGCTGCCGGGCTGCCAGGCGGGCAGAGAACGGGACCTGCCGTGGACAGCCCCCGCGACCCCGCCGCACGAGCTGAGCCGCTCAGAATGCCTCCTCGTGGGGCTCTCTGCTGAGAAAATGCAAGCGGCTCGGTTGCTCCTGCAGCCATCGGCAAGCCAGGACAGACGGCAGGGGCCGGGGGCCGGGACTTGGTGGCCGCTCTCCAGTTGTGGCCGGAGTCACAGGAAGAGGACAAGGAGTCGCTGACGGAGCACTGGGGGCCGGCTCTCAGACGGTGTGAGGACCACCCCTGATGCCCACGTTCCCGGGGCCGTGAGTGCAGGCAGCCCGTTTCAAACTGGGAAAAGGGGGCTCTAGATGTTGACGCGGCATGAGCCTTCCAAACTAAGTTTTATTTTTTATTGATTTGAGAGAGGGACATCGACTTGTTGCTCCACTTCTTTACACACTCACCGGTTGATGCTTCTGTGTCCCGACTGGGGATCGAACCAGCGACCTGGGCATCCCGGGATGACCCTCCAACCGACTGGGCTACCCGGCCAGGGCTTCGCACTACGGTTTAAGTGGGGGGAAAAGCAACACGAAACTAGGGACACTCACAGGTTACACGTGAGCTACCTTTACGTAACAAAAATACAAACTTTCAGAGGCTGGGGAGAATTTCCTGTGTGCGCGCCAACACCCACGTCCAGAAGGAGGCACGAGGCGGCGAGCGGCCGTCTTCCCAGGGGGCAACCAGGGAGCTGGGGGCGGAGGTCACGTCCGCCATCTTTTGAATTGCGTGCTACTTGTATCACCTGTTTAAACACCCATCACCAAGTGCAACACGGTGCCCTGACACAGGAAAAGGGCCTCAGTGGGAAACTGGTGAACCCGGAATCCAGTCTGTGGTCTATTAACCAACACAAGCATTGTACCAACATGAGTTTCCTGGTTTTAACAGACCAAATGCAGTTTCGGGGGCTGGTTTCCTGGTTCGTAACCCTGTTCTACCTGCTTCTCCTCACCACTAGAATGGGCTCAGAACCCTGGCTGCTGTGGCTCAGTGGACTGAGTGCCGGCCGGCCTGTAAACTACAGGGTCACCGGTTCAATTCCCAGCCTAGCGCACCTGCCTGGGTTGTGGGCCAAGTCCCCAGTTGGGGCACAGGAGAGACAACCACACATTGATGTTTCTTTCTCTTCTCTAAAAATAAAATATTTTAAAAGGAAGCACAGGCTCAGAAAAATTCCCAGTCTTGGGTATTTTCTCACTGTTCCTGTGCCTGGGGCACCCCTCAGTCTCTCCTCGACCTTGGAAGCTCTCCTCACTCTTCATGGCCAAGTTCGCCCATTACTTGCTCTGAACGCTCTCCGTGATTCGCCCCCTTAAGACATGGTTGTCTAGAGTGTGACGATTTCCACTCGGTCTCCATTTCTCAGCACGTTTCCCCAGGAAGCAGGCTCTGATGCAAACTGGAGTGTAGGGGAGTCTGTTAGGGGTGAACACCTGTGGCGGGGGGGGACACCCCGACGGGGCCCAGGGAGCAGCAGGGTCGTGACCAAGCCTTAACAGAAGCGTCGGCAGACCCCACAGAGTGGCTCTGAAGCCAAGACGCCCTTTGAAGTTGTCCCAGGAAGCAGGGAGCAGCGAGAGGGCTAGGGCCCCCAGACTGCCGGCCCGCACACCACTGGGCACGGCCGCCTGGGAAAGGGGGCCTGGCCCAGGCTAAGGCAGCTCTTAGGCAGAGGCGCTGCTCAGAGGGCGGCCCAGCTGAGGGCCACCTGCCAGCGATCCTCACGGCAGGTGGGGGAGCCAGTCCTTCATTTCTTAAGGGGAGCGGCCTGCCAGCTCCCCACATCCGAGTGCAAGGACCAGAGGAGAACTGTTTCCATTTTCAAGAGAGAAAGATGGAAAGGACTGTGGCTTCTGAAGGCAGGAGCCTGGGCCCCGGAACACGAGGCTCCCCTCCCCCGTCCCCAGTGTGGTCTGCAGAGAGAGGCCGGCCGTGACCGGAGACTTGCCGGGGGCACAGAACCCCCCGCAAGAAATTTGTCCTCCATCTGGCAGCGGTGACAAAGACAAAGGTTTCACTCCAAAAGAGGCAACATTTCTTAATAATTATTTAGGTCGTTTGTCTTTTCAAGCAAATGAATACTTTTATTAACATGGTAAATTTCTTAAACACATGGTAGGGTTTTGACCTCAAATACTCGTTAGGTCTGCTACTCAACCGAACCTAGAGCCAGACGACGTATGAACCTTAAAGACGCCCCGTCCCGTGCCCGTCAGGGTCCAGTGCAGGCAGCCCCGGCTCGCCTTCCGCGCCCCTCGGGGCCTCTGCAGCACCTCCTCCGCTCTGCCCTCCGCAGCGCACCGGGCGTCACCCCGCGGCGTGCGGAGTGGCCCGACCCCGCCTCCTGCTCCAGGTCAGACAAGCTGCGCGAGGCCCTGCAGACGAACTGACCAGACCGGGTACATCAGACAGCGTGCCGCGTCAAGTTTAAACTCTGAACAAAATACATCTCTCCTCCTTTGGTCTCACGCAGAAAAACTTCAAGTCCCGAAATACAGATGCCGCCATCTTCAGCCGCCGTCTGGGCCAGGCGTCCCAGCCAGGCCGGCCCAGTCCCGCTCCCGGGCGCAGTCTGGCCCCTCCGTCGGCTTCTTCGGCCGCTGCTTGCTGCAGAGTCGTCTTCTGAAGTCAGGCAGCTCCGTCAGCACCTCCAGAGCCGGGGACCCCAGCTCTGAGTCTCACGTATCACACAGTTCCAGGGAGCTATCAGGTCGCACAAGAAAGGGCAGAGCACCTCAACATCTGGGGACCACCAGAGCCCAGAGCAAAGGGGGCGGCTGCGGGACTCCCGGTCTGGGCTCCGCTCCCCAGACGCGACACCGGACAGGCACAACTCGCATTGAGGTCATCACCCGCAGACCACAGCAGAAACGTAGTGTAAATGAGGACAGAGCACAGAGAAAACGAGGGAGGAAACGGAAGGCTCTCCGGGTTCGGCTTCTCCAGGGCGGCAGCCGGTCTCCGCCAGCGGACCGAATCCACTGGCCGTAAACCTGAAGGCAGTTGGGAGAAACCCATCAGTAAGAGGCTGATTACTAGAGGGAAACCAACCCAACCCCTCCCATCTGAAACCGGCCGTGGAGGCCGTACGCCCCCTCTTCCGGCGTCCGGCAGGGTCTCCAACTGCCCAATGACGGCCTGGCCCTGGAAATTCTGATTGCACGGCCTCTGCCGTGATCTCGTTCCCATGGCAGCTGATAAGTTCATTATCCCACAATTACCCAAACACACACCCCACCGAAAACCAACTGTTTCCTTCCTAACTACCAGCGTGAAAAGAAGAGCCTCTACGAACACCTCCCACAGCAAAAACTGACCATGCTTCTCTCCTCCCCTCCCCCCATTTCCCCTCCGGCGGGCACCACCATTAATTAAACAAGCCCCGGAGACGAGCCGAGGGCTGGGCGCCTCGGGGGCCTCCCGCCCGCCCCCGCCTTACCGCCGACCCTCGCTCAGGACGACTCGCTTTTCTCTATCCGCCGGACCAGCTCCACCAGCATCTCTGCCATCTTCGCGATCTCCTTGGCCTTCTCCTCGGCCTTCTCGCCCCTCTTGGCCGCCCGGCCGTCGCCGCCGTCGCTCTGCAGGTGGTTCAGGGCGCTCTCCTCCGAGGCCTCCACCTGCGTCTTGATCTGGATGAGCATATTGTCCATCTCCCACAGCTTGCTGCGGTTCCGCAGGTACGCGCGCCCGTGCTCCCGCGTCAGCGCCGCGATGTCCTCCCGCATCTCGTTGATGACGGGCAGCAGGAACTGCTCGAAGTCCTCCTCGGGCTCCAGCACTTCCACCTCCTCCGGCTCCGCCAGCTCGACGACGTCCAAGGGCCGCATCCTCGCCGCGCCTCCGGAACCGGTCTCGGCGTCTGCTGCGGAGAGAAAATGGAGACTCGCTAGGCCTAGCAACAGAGTTCCAGAATATTCTTGAAAACTTTTACCCTTTTGAAACTTTCCGGCTCGGAGAAGCCACAGCAAAACACGACTTACGAGCAGAGAAGCGGCGAACAAAATGGAGTTGCGGCCGTCAACCAGCTCCCTGCGTGTCGCGGCCCCGTTCACGACACGGCGGTGCCTCTTTACGGTCGCGACGCTGGCAGATGAGGCGCGGGCGCGCGCACGTCCACGGAGAGGGACCTGCCGGAGCAGCCGGCTCCTCCGCGACCGCGCGCGCGCACGGACACGAGCGCGAGCACGCAGGCTCCTCCCTCTTTCCTTTCCTCCCAGCCTGGCCACGCCTCTCTGCTCCCCAGGCTTTGGGGAGCGTACTTCTCGCGCGTCCTCCTCGAGGTCGTGTGAATTAAATGTTTTTAAGATGTAAACGCGATATACGCACACGGACAGAGGAAGATGCCATGACAATTATGTATTCAAAGGCTATGACATCCCTGGGGGAACCCTAACAGACCCTTGCTCTTCGGAAGCAGGGCTCTGGGCGGGTCGGGGAACGGCATTAGAGAAGGGGACGGGGTCTTATTCCACGGTTGGTCCGTAAGTCCTGAGCCCTGCTTGGCACCAATCAATAAATCCGCCTTAACATCACTCTTCTCCAAGGAGGACAGGCAGATGACCAAAAGACATATGAAAAGATGCTCAGCATCACTCATTGGAAAGATGTAAATTAAAACCACAGTGAGATATGCCCTCCCACAGGTGAAAATGACCATCCGCAATAAACCAAACAGTAGATGTTGGTGGGGGTGAACAGCGAAGGAAACCCTCGTGCCCTGCTGGTGGGAACATGGACCGGTGCAGCCGCTGCGGAAAGCTGTATGGGGTTTCCTCAAAAAGCCTGACCGTGGACCTGCCTTCTGACCCAGCGACCCCACTTCGGGGACTGTACCCTAAGAACCTCAGAACACTCACTAGAAAGAGTACGTGCACCCCTGTGTTCGGTGCAGCGTCACTTACAATCGCCAGGATTTGGAAGCAGCCCAAGTGCCTGTCAGTAGATGAGGGGATAAAAAAGCTGTGGTATATTTACACGATGGAATTCTACTCGGCTGTGAAAAAAAAAAGACAATCTTACCTTTTGCGACAGCGTGGATGGACCTGGAAATTATTAAGCTAAGTGAAGTCAGCCAGTCAGAGAAAGATATACGCCGTATGATCTCACTTGTGTGTGGAGTCTAATGAACAAAATTAATCAACGAACAAAATAAAAAACAGATTCATAGAGAACAGACAGCTGTCAGAGAGGCGGGGGTTGCAGGCAGAGGTAGAAAATGTGAAGGGATTAAGCAGAAAAAACAAAAAACCTTATAGACGCAGACAACGGCACGGTGCCCAGCGGACGGAAGGGCGGTGGGGGCGGCGGGGGAGGGCACAGGGGACACAGATGTTGGCGGCAGGAGGCCGGGCCGGCGTGCTGCACCCACAGCACCGGCAGCGTGCAGACGACACGGAGTCGTGCACCTGAAACCTACGTAACTCTACCAACCGATGTCGCCCCAGTACGTTTTTTTAAAGATATTATTTATTTATTTTTAGAGAGGGAAGGGAGGGAGAGAGAGAGAGAGAAACATCAATGTGCGGTTGCTGGGGGCCGTGGCCCACAACCCAGGCATGTGCCCTGACTGGGAATCGAACCTGCGACACTTTGGTTTGCAGCCCGAGCTCCATCCACTGAGCTACGCCAGCCAGGGCCCAGTATGGTTTTTTTAAAGAAAGGTAAGTAAGAGACCTTTACATTCAACACTGGCCACAGCTCTGTCTAGCAACAGCTGAAGAGAAGCTAATTAGCTCTGGAAACTAAGCTCACAGGAATATTTTTTAATGTATTGATTTGAGAGAGAGAAAAAGACAAAAACATCCATTTGCTGCTCGCCCATCCACTCAGCATCCCTCGCACTTCAGCCGAGGCTGGAACCGAAAGGGCGCCCCATGGGCACTCCAACCAACCGAGCCACCCGGCCAGGGCAAAGGAGTATTTTGAGGCTAATTACTACAGCCACGTAAAATCTTACACCGTCTGATTGATTTTTTCTGGTTTTCTTTTCGTGTTTGTGCACAAGTTACTTATTGAAACCTACACTCTAAGTGAATGGATCCATCTGAGAGTGAATAACTTAGAGTCCGTCTGAGCAGTATTACAGACATCGGACATGCGCAATGGTAAAACTTCAGGAGAGAAATGGGCGGGCGAGCTGAGTGATGGGCTGAGTAAAAGCGTGTAGACTTTCACTGTGTGTTTTGAACCCCAGGCACTCTGAATAATCCTTCAAATCTGACTTACAATGTTATATCTCTATTCTTTTATTTAAATTATCCCAGAAGGCCTTCTGTTTAAAACGCAAATTAAACAATGCAAATAAAAAAAAAAAGCATTGCTCGATGCAAAAATGTAAGGACAGAGCAGTTCATCTCCTAGCCTGTTCTTGACACAGTCACAAAACGGCGAGAAAAATGTCAGGAATCCAGCCTGACAAGGGCCCTGGGCTTGGCTTCTGTTCTCCAGTCAAAGGGACACAGTCCTGCTTTGGAATGTGGCGGAGTTAAGACCGAAGAGAAACAAAAGTCATGGAATTCCTGTGGTGCTTTTTTCCACATTTCAGTTCTGAGTAGGGAAAACGCCCCCTCCCCCGCTTTGTGTGGAACAGTTCTCCCCCGGAAGGGCCCCAGATCACCCAGAAGGCTGTCTGCTGGAGCTCCCACCCTCCCCTGGGCCAGGGCCCTGCCCCAGGGCCCCTAATTCAGAGCACCCTGAGGCCGCTGGCGAGGGGACCACACCGCAGACCCCTGGGCTGAGCAAGCCAGCCCCCTGTCTCATTGCCTCATCTTAGGCGTCACCTCCCCCCAGAAGCCTTCCAGGCTCCCGCCGGCCTCTGGAGTGACCCTGTCGTGTTGCTGTCTGTTTGCTTCTCAATGTCCAGACGCAGCTGTGCCTTGGACCGTCTGAGGCAGAGACGGCAGCGGGGAGGCGTGGGAGGGAAGAGACCAGAGAGGAACGGCCGTGAGTGCTGGGGGTTCCGGCACCCTCCAGGGCTGGACACGCTCCCTGCGGTCCTCCCCGAGTCTGCCAGGCCTTTGAGTGCCCTCTCCACCTCTGAGGGGTGACAGTAGCATCAGCATTTCGTCAAAGATTGATCTCGGGTTGCAGGAGAACTCGTCCCAGGGGTCGCAGAGCAAATAAAAGACAGGAGCAGGAGGCAACGCGAAGCCTGCGGAAGGCTTTCTACCACGTCAGGGCGCTCACGGTCAGGCCGCTGAGCGCTGCCACCACGCCCTGCTGCGCCAAGGCCCTGGGTCGAATACTTTCCCCAGAAGCCATGTCCTTCCCGGGACCTCGGAACAGGATCTGGTCGGGAAGGGCCGTGGGGCATTCATTGTAGATGGAGCAAGTGAGGATGAGACCGTGGCTGCAGGAGAGTTCGCCCTTACGCCAACGTGGCTGGCGGCCTGAGCAGGGGAAGAAGACCCTGGGAGGGCGGAGGCAGGACCCGGAGTTACGTGGACACAACGCCAGGGAGCGCCAAGGAGCGCCAGGCAGCGCCAGAGGCTGGGAGGCAGGCTGGGCCGGCTTTGGAGCCCGGGGAGGGGTTTGCAAACAGCAGCCCCGCCCCACCGGCGCCTTCCCCGGGGCAGGAGGAGGCCCTGCCCTCGCTGCTTCGAGGCACAGGATCCCTGATGTTCTTTCATCATTCATTGTGCTCCTGCGAAGCTAGGTTTCGGAACTCTCGACCTCCTCCCTCACCGAAGTCCTCGTCTTAGGAGTTCTCGGGAGTAAAGCTGGCGTGGTGCTGGATCTGCCTGGGCAGGGAGACTGCAGATGAGTCACCCAGTGGGCCTGTTCGCCCACGCCCCTGCCCTGAGCCTCCGTTTCCCCTCTGCCGGGTGTGGGGGTCCACAGACAGTGAGGCCCCTCCTTGTCCTTCTCTTCCTTACTCCCTGCCCAGACCCCTGCCAGCTCCCAGATGTCCTTTGGGCAGGTGGCTGCAGGACCCCCGAACTGGCCATGGCCGGAGGGCTCCACAATTCGAGGCTTCCCAACTCCAGCCTCATCCTCAGCACCCAGCAGCGGGCCGAGGGGGCTCCGCCGGCGGGCCTGGCCTTATCCCCCCCAGCTGGCCGCACAGCGGGGGCCCCTGGGAGGCTTTGGGCCAACCCGTCCCAAGGAAGTGGGCAGCTCCGGGCGGTTGGGGCCCAGGCCCAGCTGGCGCTCAGAGCCACCCATGAGCTTGGCTGTGCAGCCAGGGCCTGGAGCCCCAGTCTACCTACAGGAGAAAAACCGGGGGAGGCCGGCCTGCAGGGCCTTTGCTGGTGTGTGCACCCCTCTGCCCAGCACCCCGCCCCCGTAACTTCCTACTTCCCCAGAGTGCAGGTGTTACCCAGCCTCCGCCCCCCCCCCCGCCACACCCTGTGTGCCCTCGCTGCCCCGGTCCCTCTGCAGCGCTCCGGGACCAACTCCCTCTGCAAACTCCGCTTTGCTTTGTGTTTTAAGGGCCGTTTGTGGGTTTGCGGCTGACCCCTCCTTGCCCTCTGCACCTCCCTCCTTCAGTCACCTCTCCCCGCCTCTCCCTCTATGGCTGGGAACCGCCCCCCCCCGCCCCGAGGTCAGGATCTGGGTCTGTCCCACCGTGCGTCCCCCAGCCCAGCGTAGGGACCTGTGAACGTGCTGCCCCAGCGTGGTCTGGGGCCCGTGCTGACGGGGCCGCACACGAGGCCCTGCACCGTGGCTGCTGAGCACGGTCGTCCTGCTCAGACACCCCACGTGCCTCCGACCCTGCAGGGCTTTCCCGGAACTTCCTGACCCTCCCGCCCCTCAGGCTCGGACCTGCAGGAGGCGTTTCCCCGCACCCTTCCCCACCCGCAGGCAGAGCAGCCCACTGGGCTCCCCTCATGCCCTGGGCAGGGCCTCCGGGCGACTGATTACCTGGCTCCTTGGTGTCTCCCTTTCAGCGGCTGAACGTGGAGGAAAGTGGTGATTCCGGTTCCCCTGACCTCTCTTGACCCTGGGCCTGGGAGCCGCCCGGCTTGGGGAGTCTGAGTCAGCCAGGCCGACAGTGCAGGGGGCAGCGGGTGGCCGGGGGAGGCGGGCGGGAAGGGCCCAGGCCCTGCTCAGGTGTGTGGCCCTGAGACCGTGAAGACTGT